CAACCAGGTAGCCTGAACGGGCTGAGTACCACTGTGCTGGCTGCTTCCTCTTCTATTTTCTCGTTCTGTCCTCAGTCCCCTCTGAACACTTTTGTGAAACAGGTTCTAGAATTATTTCCATTTTACTGAGACTCAGAGAGGTATAGTCACTTGCCCAAGGACACACAGCAGGAGGTTCAGGGACTTCCAACCTCATGCTCTTCTCCCTACACCATGCTGCCTTATAAGAGATTTTGGGAAGGCAGCAAACACAGCTCCTCTCCTTGACCCTCTGAGCCCGAGCCCACAGGAGTCTGCTATAGGGAGGCACATACTTACACCAGCCTCCTCAGGAGGCCTCTGGCTCCTCTCTCTATGAAGAGGCTGGGTCCCTTGCTGTGCTGACTCAGTGGCTTTGTTCAGTTCAGCCTGGCCTGTGGTCATTTGAATCTCCAGGGCTGACGTCCACCAGTCACCCTGCCCCGTACTCAGGTGGTGCCCAGTCCAGCCATCCCAGGACCAACTACCAGAAGGTGCTCACCTGCTCACTGCAGAGGGTTCTAAATCTGCAACTCAGGTAGCTGGGAAACAAGTGACTGAGTTACCACCCCCAGGTTGCTAAGGCCAAATGCCTGCCAAATCCGGGTGCTGGGCTGGCTGGATTCTGCCCACCATCAGCAAAACCACATTAACCAGGAGGCTTAGATGACGGGCGTTCCGGTTAACTGGATTTGCTGGATATCTTTTGGTTAACTTGCCAAGTCTTTCTATAATACCTGACCTTAATAGCAAAACATGAGAAAGACCCAAATGTCCATCAGTAGGTCATGGGTTGTTCATTTAATGGAATACTATGAAGTCATTCTAAATTTTACAAAAGAACACTCAGTGACTGGAGAAATGGTTACAAGATGTTAAGTGAAAGGCTTCAGAACAGTAGGACAGAATAAGCCCATATTTGTAAAAGAAAAATATTTCTGTTTTTTAGTATTTATTTCTTATAGTATATGGTTATAACAGGAAAAAGATGAGAAGGCACTAAAATGCTAACCATGTTCTATACCTTTGGGTATTGGTATGACAGATAACCAACCTTTTAAATGTAGATTTTTCTTTCTTTGAAAAGATGGTACATTTACATGGTTCGAATTCAAATAGTACAGAAAGTTATGAGAAGTCTCTCTCCCATCCCTGTCTCCCAGTCTCCCTGTCTCCCTCTGCAGGCAAGCTGGGGATGATGTTTCCTATATAGCTTTCCAGATATATTATATGTACATAAAGTATTTTTCCCTTCCCATTTTTTGTGAAAAGAGAGCATATTGTACCTACACCTTATTCTGTACCTTGCTGCCTGCCCTTGATATGTTTAGTGACAATTCCTTATTAACATGTAAAGAGCTTTTCATGCTTTGTTTTCCCCCAAGGATCTAGTATTCCACTGTATGGATGTGTCACATCCTGCGTGGCAAGGGCAGTGAAAAACGAGAGGGGTGGCGCAAGGTTAAAGAGCGCGAGACAGAGATAAGGCTAAAGCGGGGCCAAGGGGCATCAGCCTCTAAGGACTGAGCCCCGAATCAGGCCGACACATGGATTTTACTGAGAAAATTTCAAGGAAGTGAAACTGGATTACTCAAAGATCCGTGTGCTATGTGCCTTAAGGCTGTTTTCCATTAACCAGCTCCCACTGTACTCCAACATGTACTGTGCCTTCATACAGCCTGCACAACCCCCAAGACAGCGTTATCGTGTTGCGTCCTATACAATTAAGGGAGATGACCGATATCATTCTATCGGGTCTCAGTGTTCCGAGGCACTTCCTCAGGACCTCGTTAGGTCAGGGGTTAGTGTGGGGGGGCGGTCGTGGACGTAGCTGTAAGACAACACGGATGTACCTAAATGTATATAACCCATCCCTTAGTGACAGACATTGCAGTGGGTAAACTGTAGTGAATTGTATTGTGTCCCCCGCAAAAGATATGTTCAAGTCCTAATCCCCAATACCTGTGAATGTGACCTCATTTGGAAATAAGGCCTTTGCAGTTATAAAGGATTCTGAGATGAAATCATCCGGGATTTCAGATCTACCTAAATCCAGGGGTGGGCCCTAAGTCCAGTGCAGGGTGTCCTTACAAGGGGAGGAGGGGACACACACACAGACACAGGGAGACCATGCATGAATGGCCAGATGCAGACATTGGAGTTCTGTTCCTACAAGCCAAGGCTGGAAGAGCAGATTCTTGCTTAGAGCCTTTGGGAGGAGCATGGCCCTGTTGACTGACATCCTGATTTCAGGTTTCTAGACTCCAGAACTGGAAGAGAATAAATTTCTGTTGTTCTAAGCTACTCAGTTTGTGGAAACTAATATGTACGCTATCCAGCCACAGGAAACTAATATGTAAAGTAGACTTCTAAGACAGTACTCCCTGATCCTACTTCCTGGTAGTCACGCCTTCGTGTAATCCCTTCCCCCTCTGGGTGGGTGGGACCTGCAACTGGCTTCTACGCAGTTGAATCCACAGTTGAATCCAGCCCAGGCGATGTGATGTTACTCTCAGATTAATGTTAAGACTGTGACTGCTATCTTGCTGGCTGTCTTGCTTGCTCACTTGGATGAAGCAAACTGCCAAGCTGTGGGTTACAGAGAGGCCCACGTGGCAAGAAAATGAGTGACCTCTTCCCAACAGCCAATAAGGAAAGGCATCCTCTCCTGTCGAGCCCTAAGATGACACTGTGGCCTCAAGGCTATTTCCAATCTTTTGCTATGACAATATTACAGATAATAATTGTTAATATTGTTTTTCTCTTTTTGTATTTACATTACATAGGTACGCAGATTAAAGTATCTCTGCATTCAAGCAGCAGTGAGGAAAAATTGGTCTTCTCTCTCCTCCAGGCCGTTCTGTCCAGAGCATGGTATCTTCCTGTCACTTCCTGCTGTCTACTGCTATTGAGCACCTACTGTGTGCCCAGGATGCATTTCAGTGGCTTCCGATCACCTGTGGAATAAAGCCCCTCCCCTGGCCTGGCATTCAATACCTGCCATACGATGGCTTTCTTAATCCATATAGAGGGCATTGGAACTTCCATATATTAAGTAGGTCTTACGTACCATCCCTGTAGACAGCACAGCTCAAGTAGATCAACTGGATTAAAAGCATGGATACTGGAGCCAGACTGCCTGACTTCCAACCCCAGCTCTGCCACTGAGCAACTATGTGACTTTGGGCAAATTACATAATCTCACTATCCTTTGGCCTCATTTGTAAAACTGGGATGAGTACCTATGTGTTGGGGTTGTTGGCATGGTGAAATGAGTTTTATGTTAAGTGCACAGGACTTAGCAGAGTAAGCATTACATATTAGCTATTATCAACATGAAGGGAACAAACAGTAAGGCCCAAAGGAGCATGTTAAGTGATCTAAGGACCATGCAGCCATGAAATGTGTCCAAATTCCTTTCTCACAGACTCCCACCTCAAATACCCTTTGCTCACCTCTTGTATTAGTTATCTATTGCTGTGGGACAATATTACCACAAACTTAGCAGCTTAAAACAACTTGTTTACTACCTCCGCTTCTGGGCACAGTTTAGCTGGGTCCTCTGCGATCAAGGTGTCAGCCAGGGTGGGGGTGCTCATCTGAAGGGTCAACGGGGCAATTACCAATCTCACGTGGTGTTGGCAGCACCGGTTCCTTGCAGCCTGCTCTTGCCACCCTGACCCTCTCTTTGACTAAGGCAGCTCACACAACATGGCAGCTTGCTTCTTTAAATACAGTTTAAGACAGATGTTGCACCCTCATGTAATACAATCATGGAAGCAACACCTTGTCATCTGCCTTATTCTATTGGTTAGAAGTCGCAGGTCAAAGGGACGATTACACAAAGGAGTGAACACCAGGAGGTGGGGATTATTGGGCCCCTTTCGTGTCACAGCTGTGTATCCAGACCCTCCCAGTGTAGACAGTTCAGGCCTCACAACCCTCAAACCCAACCCCCACCTCCTACCAGTTTTAGCCAGGCCCCCACCCTCCCCCCGTTTGGAAACTGCCATCAGGGGTGAAACTGAAGAGATGCCGGTCCTGTAGCAGCAGATTTTTTTCACTTGGGATTCCAGTTGGTGATGGAGACGCACCAAACTGCCTCTAACCCCCCAGACCCTTCAAGGTGCTTTTCAGGTTTGATGCTTGATGGTTGTTTCCTCATTATCATGAGTTAACGATTTCTGGGCATGCTACCTGATTCTAGGTAAAGGTGATTACGGTCGAACTATAGGATGGGCACCTGCTAGTGCTTTCTATGCCTCATCTGAGTGATGCTTGGGTCAGAGCAGGAGCCTATGGTCACACAGCTAACCAGGAGACGGCCTAGATCCAAAGCCCAGGTCTGTCTCCAGAACCTAAGTGCTTAACTTCGGTATTAAGAGGTTCTTCTAAGCTTTTCATTTCCAGCTTCTAGGCACTTAGAAGGAAGATGGGAAATAGACAAAATCGCTTTCTCCTCCTGAGTCCTGATGCAGTTTCCTCATCCTTATTCAGTGGGCATGGGGAGCCTCAATTCTAATCTTCTTTTCCTTTCTACACTCTTTGTTAGCCAGAGTCGCTATCTCCATAACCAAAAATAAAAACTGCATCTTTCTTACAGAACCCTCAGGCAGAAGTGCAGTGGCCTTTTTCATTTTTTGGCCCCCGTGTGCCTGTACACATTTAAGGAGGTGCTTCCACAGGGGGTCCTGGTGGGGGGCAGGGGCCTTCTCCCAGGTTAGAAGGCAAGGAGCCCAGAATGTCCCAGAATGGCAAAAAGACTGGACGCGTCTAGATGCATAGGAGAGAAGGAACTGGTTGCCTTAGGGCAACAGGACCAAATTCTCTTATTTTGGCCAATGGGACACCGTGGCCCAGGCTTTGTATCTGTACCCATGATGAGTGGTGAGGGGCGGCTGAGAGTCCAGTTGTGGCATCCTGTAGGGTTTAGGGGCCATGCCGCCAAAAACATGTTCGTCTTTGACATACACTGACAGAAGTAAAAATACTGATTTATCTTTTAATCTTAAAAATCTGGTCCCACAAAAAAGGCCGAAACTTTTTCACTCAGAGCTCTGTCATGTACAGTCCCTGAAGGAGGAAAGAGAGAGGTCGTCTGCAAACAAGGCACTTCAGAAACCACCAAGAAAACCCCAGTCTGCCAGAAACTTCACGATGAGCCTGTGAACCCAGAGAGCTGCCAGAGGACAGGGAGGCCAAACCCCCACCTCCGCGAGGAAAAGCTTCTCCTTTCTGGCCCAGACGCTGTTCCACCTGGCTTCCAGCGCCTGCTGTGGTCCTGCCCTGCCTACCTGGCCTGGAAGACAGGGAAACCAGGCCCCGTGGCTGAGATGAAGGCTGTTTCCCAAAGCTCAGAGCAGCGCCTGTGGCCAACAGTGAGGAATGCTTTCAGAACTTGCTGGGACATAGTGCAGGAACGGTCCCTTTAGCAAAGATAATGAGTTAGTGCAGATCAGCACATGAGCAAAGCAAGTATTAAAAATTTTTAAAAAGCTGGTTAACACTCCTGAATGTCTGTTCAAGCTGCAGCCCATAAACCTGCCAGGAAACAGGAAGGAAGCCTCCTCTGCAGGCGCCTCGACTGAAGTGGCTACAGCCAACCGGAGCGCGGAAAACCCCCTTTGGGAACAGTGATCACGTGACACCTGTAATCCCTGAGGAGGTCTGATCGGAATCCAGGCAGCACACGCAACCCCTTCTTTTGCTTTTGGGGCCTTGTATTTAATACGGGTCATTGTGATGGAAGAAGTAGTCTCAGAGTCTCTCTCACGTCAAGAGGACAGACAGGGTAGGGATCCCGGGGCTTCTCTTCCCGTGTGTCCTGGTTGCATACTTGAATCCCAGGAAACGGGAGTGACACGGTGCCAGTTTACTGCCTAACATGCCCAGTCTGTCAAGAGAGTCAGGCGAGGAGGAAAGGAGAGGCTCGGTCCAAACAGAGGCTGGCCAGGGAGCGCTCGGCCTCCTTCCTTTGGCCCAGATGAGGCAGCTCCTTTCCAGAAGTTGTATGAGGATCAAAAGAGTTGTGCTCAGGTCAGAACTGGACCCAGCCTGTGCCTGACTGAGTCTGGCTGGAAGGCGACCTGTAAAGGGAAGACAGGGAGAGGAGGGGAGGGTTTAGATGTTTGAAAATACAAAGTAGGTAAAAGGTAGCTTTTCTCTAGACAGGAAGAACTTCAAGAAGTCAACCCTGGAATATTCTAGAGCAGAGGTCCAGCAAGCTATAGCCCAGGGACTGAATCTAGCCCTCTGCCTGTGTCTGTAAATAAAGTTTTATTGGTACACAGCCATGCCTATTCATTTACATATTGTTTGTGGCTGCTTTTGAGTCAGAAGAACAGAACCAAGTAGATGGAACAGAGATGATATAGGCTGCAGAGTCTACGCTATGTGCTGTCTGGTAGAAAATGTGTGCTGACTCCTGTCCTAGAGCCTGTCCATATAAACAATGGTGCAATAGGATTTTAGCATCTTTTCACCCTGATCCCAAGTAAAGGCTTGAAATTTTAAGGAGCCAGAGAAGGCAAGAGACCTTGTCTCAAAGGTTCGATGAGGATGGGCCAAGGCTAGAACCCAGGTTAAGTCTCAGCCCATTGTTCTGAAGTAGCTGGGGGCGGGGGGCAGGCGGGGGAACAGGCAGGTACTGGGACAAGCCAAAGCACTTGGTAAAGTGGTTTAAAAACCAGAGAGTTGCACAAGGTTGCTCCAGGCCACCCAGCCGTGGAGAGCAACAAAAAGCCTTCATGGAGAGAAACGTGCCACCCAAGCGCACACACTGGGGCGCTGTCCTCTGGCCTGAGAAAGTCCTGAAATCAGAGCTGTTCCTCCAAACATCAGGACAGCATCTAGAGAAGCCCAGGTTTTTAGAGAAACAGCCCTGGCTCCAGTCCCACCAGAGAAATGACCCTCCTCACCCTGTGGATTTCGTGAAGTCTCCCCAGATGTCAGCAGTGGCAGTAGTGGCAGGATTGGGCTGCGGCCAGGACACAGTAGCACCTCCTATTGATGTCCCGAAGTCCGACGGGTAGGAAGAGAAGACAGGAGTCAGATTTCTATTTTTGGTTGTCTCAGTGACCCTGAAATCAGGGTCATGATTCCAGGTGGCTGAGAAAGACACACCCAGAGACGTGCTTTTGGGCAACGAAACAGCCACAAGCTGCCACATTTCTACTATCTTCTCATGAGCCACTGAGGGCTCCTGGAGAAAAAGCAGAAAGCCACATCCGAGGTAGAGGGAGGGGAGGGGCGCCAGTGAGAGAGAATCACACGTCATCTGTCACACAGACCTGAAGCTGACCCTGTTTGTAATGGTTTATGTTGGAAATCTGTTTAAATTTTACTATCTCCTGCCCTGGCTTCTTGAATAGAGACTGCCCACCCAAAATGCAAGGACGTCTTCACATAAAGTTCTCAGTCCAGTGTCTGGATCAACAAGCTAAGAAAATGATGCCAGACTTGTGCCAAGTCCTGGGAGCCTAACTGGTTAGGCGTTGGGGGGAACCTTCCAGAAGAGGTACCACAAAAGCTGGTATCTGTGTATTTCTTCTGAGGTGAGTGGCAGAGGGGGGTGCAGTGCCTGCTTCTATGCTTTGCTGGCACCTCCCCCAGTGCTGCCAACTGTCCCCTCTGAAGGCCTCATGCCTGCCACCCTCCGCCTTCCTATCCAATAGCTATTTCTAATCTGCTCTGGGCTGGGAGACCAGATAAAACTCAGGCCCTCAACGGTTCAATTTTCCAGTTCACCAAGTGTTGAACGTCCATTATCTCACTGGAGCCTCACCGCAGTCCCTGGGGGAGGATAGACCAGGACCTCCTACGTGACTTATGCAGGTCACTTAAGTCTCAGTTTCCTTATCTCTAAAACGGAGACAAGCACAGTGACTGCTTTGTGGGATGCTTAGAACAGGCCCAATACAGGGACGATAATGACGACGATATTTAAATAAAATGAGGGCTCACAAATATGAGTACTTACGAGGTTCTGGGGTATTGTTCATAAAGGCCATACGTGGATTACCTCCTTTGATCCTCACAAGAAACCCATACTGTAGGAATCATTACCACCCCCATCCTACAGATGAGAAAACTGAGGCACAGAGAAGTGGCAATTTTCTGAACATCACACCGGTAAGCTAGACTCAGAACTCAGCCAGCACATAGGTGGTGCTCAGTAAATGTCAGCTAGTCATGCCTCTTATTATCTGACACCATTTTGGTTGCAGATATGCTAATTGCCTGTCCTGCACATTAGAACTTAAGCCCTTGAGAGCAGGGACTTGGTGCTGTACTTATAGTACCCCCAGGGCCTAAAATGCTACCTGGCACATGGCAGGTTCTCCATGTTATCTGTTAAGAATGTACCAGCAATCGAGCGAAGGCCTAAGTCAGTGCTCTCAGGCCTTAGTGAGTGTACAAATAGCATTAAGAACAGATTCCTGCCCCCGCCCCAAGAGACGCCCAGGCAGGTGGTCCTATGACCTCACCCTGAGAACCAAAGCTTAAAGAATAATCCTGGGCAGGCGGGCTCCCTG